GGAGGAATTGCAGAATCTTATTTCAGAGTGTATCCTTATGGAGTTGAGCATCAGTGGTCCCAGATTTACCTGGTCTAATAATAGGCCAGGTGATGCAAATGTGCAAGAACGGATTGATAGAGTTTTGGTTAATTCTGAATGGTGTGATTCTTTCCCTTCTACCCAGGTGATCCATGAGGCCAGAATGACTTCTGATCATTGCCCAATTGTGATTGAGTTTGGAGAGTCACCTAAGAAGAAGCCTTTTTATTTCAAGTTTGAAAGTATGTGGTTGGAGGATCTTGCTTGTGAGGAGGTGATTAAGGTCAACTAGCTATCTAGCCAACTTGGTACACCTTTTCTTAATGTCACTAACAATCTGGAGAAATGCAAAGCTAGTCTGATGGCATGGAGTAGACATAAATTTGGGAATAATAGAAAGATTATTCGGGAGTTGGAGAATGAATTGATTCATGTTCAGTCACTTGACCCTTCTGAGGAGAATCTGTTATGGGAGGCTGATTTGTGCTCTCAGATTGATATTGTTCGATGTAGAGATGAGCAATTTTGGATGCAACGATCCAGGATTGACTGGCTTAAGGGAGGGGATCANAGCAGATTGGTGATTGGAGGGAGGTTAATTTTTGGACTAATAAATGGATTCCCCTATCCCCTTCTCTTTATGTTCATTCTCCTAAACCCCCTGATTGTTAGTTTGATAAGGTGGCTGAATTTGTTAGCTGAACCCCATTCGATGGGACATTTTTAGATTGTTTTCTGGGGTTTCAAGGGAGGATTTCAATGTTATTTATGTCATTCCTTTGTCGATCAATGGAGGCAAAGACAATAGAATTTGGAGGCCAAATTGTAAGGGGGTCTATACTGTTAAATCCGACTACAGATTGGGTAACAAGAGTCAGGGAGATCAACGGGAGTGCAACTCTTTTGCTTCCCCTCATCCCAAACTTTGACAGGTTGTTTGGAACATGAAGGTCTTGCCTAAGGTTAATCACTTTTGGTGGAGGGCTTGCCACAATATTTTGGCATCTCAAGAGAACATCTTTAAAAGGAAGTGTGCATTTTCACCCTGCTGCCCTGTATGTTGAGGATGCAATGGGAAGGCTTGAGGTCTTAGGTAAAGTGGCCACAGTGGGATGGGTTATTTGGAAAGCTAGGAATCAAAAGGTGTTTTGTGATGAGGATGTTAATGCCTTTGCGTTGGTTGTTTGTGCCCAACGCATGTGGAATGATCAATTTCCATATCAGACGCCTCGATGGCTACCGTGGAGCAGTCCCCTTTCCCAGTGAATGGTTCTCTTCTCTGCTGTGATGGTTTCTTTGATCCTAAGTCTGTGATGGCTGCATGTGGTGTGGTGCTGTGCAAGGAGGATGGTGCTTCGACTTTTGGTGCTACTAGAACTTTCCTTGCAGTGTCACCTTTGTCTTCTAAAGCTGAGGCAGTGCGCCAAGCTTGTCTACTGGCTGATGCCCTTTTGCTCTTTAATACCACAATCATGAATGATTGTCTTTCTGTTATCAAACTTAGTTCTACAGAGGATGTCCCCCCGTGGAAAATTAAAGTTATTATGGATGATATTAGATATTTTGCTAGGTTACACAACCTTAGCTTTTTACACAAGTCTAGGGCTTGTAATAGGGTTGCTCATTGGGTGACAGTCGCTAAACTAACCAACTCACTCTCGTTGGATTGATTAGGTTCCACCCCCTGAGCTTAAGGTTTCTCTTTTGTCTGATTGTATTTTGAATTTTCCTACTTAATACATAATTACATGGTTTTGTTCTGATTAAAAAAAAAAGAGATACTCAACACAAATTTATATTTCCTGTAACAAAAAAAAATAAATAAATTACTCTTATTGATCAGTTTACAAAAGTTCACTTGAATTGTTTACAACTCTTTTTAGGATGATGTTTTTTAAGTACTTTTTTTTCCCATTATCGTATAATATGAATTGTTCTTTTTTCTAAACTTTAGGAGAATGATACATTTTTATGTTAAGTCCATCAAATAAAACCATATATAAACAATATGAAATCTATATAATAAAAAACATAGTCTTGTCATCGTATTAATTGGCCACACTACACGTAGTCAGGTGGTCATCAGTTTGATCACTGGATCAATCGACTCTTGGCGGGTTTCTTGTACATACAATCTATATGTTAACAAAACTTCATTTAGGCTAGATTTAATAACAATGCCATTTACACTATCTTTTTATTGTCAATCCAATGTGCTATATGCTATGGGTGTGATTATAGCAGTATTAATCCATCGAATTTCATCAGAACTCTGCAGTTAAACGTATTTGGACGAGAATAGTGTTAGGATAAATGACCCCTAGAAAGTCCTGGTGTTACACCCCATTTAAAAATATATATATGTGTGTGTGTGTGTGCGCGCGCGCGCGCTACCATACAAGTTTTTTGAGGGATTTTTGGTGCTAAGAGCAACTCCAACAATGCTATCTAAAATAGTTACTCAAAAAATATTTAAATATTATATTATCTACTTTAACTAACCATTTTTTCAAATTCACTCTAACCACACTGTCTATTTTAGTTAACCATTTCAACTAATTTTAACTAACTATTAATTATTACTAAAATACTATGTAGTATGTCATGTCATCACCATATTGATGACATCAGATGCTGACGTGTTACATCACGTCATCAAAATTTGCAATTGTGATTTTTATTAATAACGGTCATATTTACAACGGTCACGAAATTCAAAATTTTAAAATTTGAATTTTTCAACGGTCATATTTGTAACGATCATATTTATAACGGTCATATTTTTGGATATGTATAAATAGGATCTTCTATCTCTCATTGTCATACACCTCAAATCTNTTTTTAGGGGGTTATACTGGATTTTAATCGTTAACTCATCGTCTTTTCCATTTTTCTTGGCTTAAATATAGAGTTTCTGAGAGAGACACAAAGAGAGAGAGAGAGAGAGAGAGAGAGAGAGAGAGAGACCATACCTGCTGATTCAGACGATGTGAAGAGCATCTGTGAAGAGCTTCTATTTTACAAAGGCCCCAAACCTACTGNGCAATGAAGATGATTCTTAACGATTATGACTTTGATGATGAATTGGAGATGGTAACAATTTGTGCTATGGAAATGAACAAACTAAATAGCGGGGAAAGTTCTGGAGTATGTCGTGGTTCTATTCAAGGTCATTTAGTTATTTTTCGCAATCGAGTTNAGATTTAGACGATGAAGACGACGAAGCCTTTTGTGGATTGAGCCTCTGCGATAAAGCCTTCGGAGGTGTTGTTGATGCAAAAACACAATAGCCAGCTTCTTTGCCTCGCCAGGAATAGCCAGCCAAATGAAAGTTATGGGAAATAGTTAGTCCGTTGGAGACAAGATTTAAGGACTNACAATGAAGATGATTCTTAACGATCCTGACTTTGATGATGAATTGGAGATGGTAACAATTTGTGCTATGGAAATGAACAAACTAAATAGCGGGGAAAGTTCTGGAGTATGTCGTGGTTCTATTCAAGGTCATTTAGTTATTTTTCGCAATCGAGTTAAAGGGCACGAGAGATTGTATCATGCTTATTTTGTTGAACCACCTATCTATCCCCCAAATTTATTTCGAAGAAGGTTTTGAATGAATCGAGCCATTTTTCCTTCGTATTCTATCTGTGGTGGAAGATTATGATCCATATTTTGTCTAAAAAAAAGATGCTGCTGGAATTACTGGCTTGTCTTCCCTTCAAAAGATGACAGCCGTCATAAAGATGCTTGCTTATGAAGTTGCAACAGATGCTGTTGATAATTATATGAGGATTGACAAAAGCAGCGCAAAAGAAAGTTTGAAAAGATTTGTAAGGGTGGTATTAACAATTTTTTTCGATGAATACCTCAGGTCACCAAACAACAATGACATTGCTAGATTATTAATCAACAATAGGTACCGATCGTGGGTTTCCTAAGATGTTGGGTAACATTGATCCAACAATTATTTTGGAGCGGTGGCTNACTGGCTTGTCTTCCCTTCAAAAGATGACAACCGTCATAAAGATGCTTGCTTATGAAGTTGCAACAAATGCTGTTGATAATTATATGAGGATTGACAAAAGCAGCGCAAAAGAAAGTTTGAAAAGATTTGTGAGGGTGGTATTAACAATTTTTTTCGATGAATACCTCAGGTCACCAAACAACAATGACATTGCTAGATTATTAATCAACAATAGGTACCGATCGTGGGTTTCCTAAGATGTTGGGTAACATTGATCCAACAATTATTTTGGAGCGGTGGCTTCATATGATCTCTGAATTTGGCATGCCTTTTTTGGGTTACCTGGATCTCATAATGATATCAACGTATTAGAATGTTCTTCTGTTTTTGTTCTCCTTTTAGAAAGTCGAGTTCCTTCAGTCAATTTCTCAATTAACAGAAATGATTATACAATGAGATATTACTTTGTTGATGATATATATCCAAAATGGACAACATTTGTCAAAACAATTGCATCTCCAAGAGGCAATAACCAAATCCATTTTACAAAATCTCAAGAATCAGTAAGCAAGGATGTTGAGCGAGCAGGTTGAGTGGTTAATTCTCATACATTGGGTGGGATGAGTGGAGTCCTTAGTTTTCATCCCAACATAAGAAATCAAAATCTTAAAAACCAACATGTCACAATAACCAAATTGTTCATAGGAAATCCAACAAATAGGTAGAATGCATTCTAATAGGCACATATTGGTGATTGTTCTCAGCCAAAAAAAAAAAATGGAACTAGTATAAAAAGAAATGAAAAACTACATGAATCTTACATAGTGGAACTAAAATTAGTCAAAGAATTGACCAACGATCAATAGAGAGGCTTTCAGATAAATGGGAGCTATGAAAAATTACCTGGAGAGGGACACTTTCAGAGCTCAAGAGGGTTTGAGATTTGTGCCCTTAAATACACTGATGTGCAAGGCCTATCATGCGAAAAAATAACACATTGAGTTTGATAATGTGAATGAGTAGGTTTACAAATTTGGGGGGTTTTGCTTGATTTTTTTTTTTTTTGGGGGGGGG